GCATACGGCCGGAACGGTCGGAAAAGGCAAACGCCAGGGCGAGATTTCGCCATGATCACTTATCGCCATGATAAGTGATCATGGCGATCTTTGATCTGCGTTATGCGATCAGACATTGATCTCACTCACTGCGGCAACAATTCCCCAGCATATGAGGCTAATTTATAATTGGTCTGCCGCCAACGAGGATAGAGACGCCATGGCCAACTGTCGGCTGCTCCCGGACCTTGGAGCTGAACTGGCCCGAGATAAGAGACGTGAAGACCACATGGGCCACTACCGCCTCTCATCGGCAGCGGATTTTACACTCAAATCATGACGCCAACACGGTGACTGGATGTGGACCGGTGTTGAAAACAGCTGCTCGTCATGGGACCAATCTGAGCGGAACTCGGACAGGGCCTGTCGTGTCTGGTTGGGGTGTAGGTGGTTGTATTAGTCGTGGTGAATCGACAATCGATATCTCCACTCAGACAACGTTAGTTTCCTTGCGCTACACAGGAAGCAAAGTGAAACAAATGAAGGGTAAAAAACACCGTCTACTCCACTTTGTTGTTCTTAACAAGCACTCGCACAGGCAGGCAAGCCATTGCGAACTTCGTTGGTGCACTACCCCGGACCGTTTCCATCTGCTCCCGGGGTGTACTCGGCAGCAAAGTTAAGCACTGAAAGTTAAGCGGTCTCTGAAGTTAGAGCACCGTTCTCTGGGAGCAGCCGCAGGCGCAGACCCCGCCCTCGATCGACACTCGACAGGTTATTCCCACCAGGAATAGAACAGGATGTTGCATAGCACCGAGATCCCAGCACTGCCCGCTTTTTCAAGCTCAGTCGGAAAGAGCCACAATGAGAGGTTTTAAGTCTGCTCTTGCCACAACATCAAACATACATGTACATACGTAGCGCTCGAAGCGGTGGGGAAAAAATCGCCTGAACCCTCGCCATAAAAGACCAATTAAGAAAAGTAAACTATGCTATTCCGATGGGAACAGTCGAGTGATATACACCTATTTATAAGCATCGCTTGTTGTCAGTCGTGCACGACTCGCTTCCACCCGCATAAGTTTAGTCATACACTTTCAGTTAAACCTCATCAGTCTTCAAACTCTACCTGCGCCGTTAAGTCGCACCCCATACTTCACAATGGCCCACACGGCAACAGAACAGCACCCGACCACAACCGCCGGCCTGTCATTCCCCCCAGCGAAAAGGGAATCGAATCCTTGGTGAGCGACTACTAGAACTGACCGGATTCGTGTCCCATGTCCATACGTGAGCGCAGACGAACCGTAGTTAGCGGTTGGAGAAACCTGACGAAGCAAATCTAATAGAGCCAGACCATTTATTTCCGGGCACCGGTGCAATTTAAATGTTAATTTTCTTCTATCCACGGAATTCCAATGATGAGGTTTCTGATCAATTTAGTGGCAAAGACCACTGAAGACAGTAAGTAAAAATAATTTTCAAAATATCCACAGCTACTATGCTTAATCAATAATGGCGAACTGTATTGTATCAGCCGCAAACCTCACAAGTCAGGACCAAAAACCATCGCGTCCCCAAAATGTCAAAGCTCCAATCGCTCAAGTACCTAGCCCGCGCGGGGCTGGGGTCTCCAGCCGAACGCGCGGGGCTGGGGGGGGGGTAAATTTTACCCCCCCTGTTATCTCCCGAACTAATGGTCCGATTTGGAAAATTCAAACGCCAATCGAAAGCTCTCATCACGAACTACTAAAAACATGTACTTAATTTAAAGTTTGAGGTCAAGGTCAAGGTCAGGTCAAGGGTACAAATTGCAAGTTTCTACAGTATCGGCCTTGCACCGTAGTTGCCGAAGAATGGAGTCATGGACTGAGACTGATCGCCCAAAACGTGTTCTTAGGCTACCAAGACAATATTCGTTGCATACAATATCATTCAGAGGTCAAGGTCAAGGTCAGGTCAGGTCAGGTCAGGTCACCAAAAAACAAAATATAGAAAAGGGCATGTGCGACACATGTTTTATGGGTCATTTTACTCATAGAATTCAATAGGCACACTCAATAAGTGATATGGACCACCTCTGGATGAATTTCAGGTCGAGGTCAGGTCAAGGTCAGGTCAAGTGAGGTCAAATTTTGAAGTTGGTTGTTAAGGCCTAAAAAGGTGTCTATCTGATGCAGTTTTTCACGGCGAATCGAATGGTGCTATTTTTGTTTCCGTACGAGGTCTAGAACTTCCAAAAAAGTCATTTTTCAAAAATTTTGTGTGTCGTGACGTCATAAAATTTTGAATAACTCCCACATTTTTGAACCGATTCTTCTAAAATTTGGTATGTTGGTGCACATAGACCACTGCTCTGACATATATTCCGGTTTTTTCGATAGACTCAAAATTTTGGATTTTATAATGATTTTCCCAAAAAAATCAGTTTTTTGAAAAACTTTAGGCCCAAATCCAAAATTTTCAAAAAACCGAGATAGCCATTTGATAGACAAAGTAAAATTACGTATAACCTTTTTTGTTACGTCTTGATTCCTTTAAAAATGAAGATGTTAGCGGCGTTTGAACTTTTGCCGTTTTTGAGGCGAAAATGGCGAACATGACGTCACTAAAACGTCAATTCCTCAAAAATTTTTAGACGGATTTCGCTCAAATTTTCAGGGAACGTGTCAAATTGATGTAAGAAAAGGTACTGAAAGTTTGGCGGCGCTGCGCGCCGCCGTTTTTGAGATATCGCAAAAATTCGCGAGGGGGGGTAAAATTTACCCCCCCAGCCCCGCGCGGGCTAGGTATCGAGTTCAAATGGCTAACTTTGTGTAACGCATCTGTTCCGAAACATCGTCCTGCCAGACTCAACTTTTCTCACCGCATTTATGAGCTGTTACTCACATGAAAAGCAGGCCATCCCCAAGATTTGTTTTGGCTTGAAACTCATTACCAAAGGCGGCGCATCGCCTGGTGTTGCTACGGCCACCTAAAAATGCCAACACCATGCCTGTTATGCATTCTCGGCCGGTCAGCCCACCCCATTATGCATGAGGGGCCGGCTCAGGAGGACCTGTGACGTTTTAACCCGCGAGTTGCTGGGGGGGGGGGGGCGTTAAACGCCCCCACTTTTTTCGCCGGGCCATAGCATAAAAACGGCGCGCCTGCGGGCGCGCCAAATTTTGGGTACCTGTAGGGAATTGATTGCAGTTCATTGTGACAAAGTTTTAAAAAAATCGGTTGGAAAATTTTTGAGATATCGAGGTTTTAGTGACGTCATGATTTCTGAGTTTTAGACCAAAAACGGCATATGTTCAAAAAATCATATAAAATCACAGAATAGACATACAGACATGCCGTAAACGCCATTAGACTGCCAATACCATGAACAATCAAATGGCTATCTCTGATTATTGATTATCGTTCAACATTTTCCAAAATCTTGAACTGAATCTTGGCAATTTTTCGTGACTACTTCACGACCATGATACATGCATTTCTTAAATTGAGCTTTTTAAGCCAAACACGTGCACATATGATAAAATGAATGTGACCATCGTGTTCTACGCCCCAAATTACCCATAAAACATGTGTCACAGGCTGCGAATATCAGTTTTGATTTTCGGGGATATGTGCCTACCCGGTTGACCTGACCTTGACCCTGACCTATGCTTGACTGACCCCTACATGGAGCTGACACCCTTGTCGGCCTTATATGATGGATTGTGCACCGTTTTGACAGAGTTTATGACGAGAGGCGCCCATTGCGAAGTCCTGAAATCCATGCTCCTGAAAGCCCGATTTCAGGTGTTTGACCTGACCTTGACCCGACCTGTGACCTCAAAATTCAATTTAAAGTACTCATCTGAAGTGTCTCGTCGCGTTCTTTCGTTTGCCGCCTCGTGCGTTTTGCGGCGCCTATTGGTTCTCGAGTTATCGGCTGGGGGCGTTTAACGCCCCCCCCCCCCAGCAAACGGTGGGTGGCGAAATACCCCAGCAACTGCCGGGTTAAGAGACCGATCCAGGGGTCTTTGACACCATCAGAGACCGAATCAGGACAGTCTGTGACGCCATAGGTAGCCGAGTCAGAGGACTGCCCCGCCTCCGCCCTGTCGCAGCGGTGAGCTCTGAATGGGGAGTTCAAAATTGGAGTCCATGTCAATCCACCTCCGAGTCATCCTTAGGTGCTCATGTGCTTAATTAGGGACTCACCTCCGTCGCGAGTGGTTTTGTGTCGCTAGATCGACGTTTCCCGGGATCAGAGGATCCCTCGTCAAAACCGTTATCCGCCCCCCGCACGCGCAGCTTGCACCCCTCGGATATTATCTCGCCGGAATGTCGTGATCAAATGTATTCTTCTTATGACCTGCAAGTTTTGAACCAGTTAGAGCTGCCGTTTACCCTGCAGGCGTGGCAACGTACGAAGGGGTGCAATCGGCTTGCACGTGCATAGCTCATGCACCACAGAGTTTAGCTCAACCAAATGTGCATTATTTTGGAGGCCTTGCCTGGGACTACCATTGAACCGATTTTGAGGTTGATAGCTTAAAATTTCTTTGAGCCAGAGGACCTCACGTTAAAACGGTTTTCCGACCCCAGCACGTGCAGCCTGCACCCCTCGCAGACGGTGACCCCCCTGGAAACTGGTTCAAGGTGTTACCGATGTGTCCCGCCAGTATGGCTTTGCCCGTGACCTCGGGTTGACCTGTAGCCTTGACAAAAAATTTCGTGTCACCGAAACTTTGAAACGGAATAGCATGTGCCACGAAGCACCGAGCGAACCGAGGCCAGCACCAAAAGTTTACCTCGCCGGAGACGAATCAAACGGTCCCACTTTCGTCCCGATCGGTCCACCCATTTTGACTCCAGGTCCAAAAAAGCTTGGACAAACTCACTTACATACTCACATACTCACATACTCACTGACAAACAGGTTCAGCCGAACTTTTTTTCAGCGACCCACCAATGGGAATTTCCGGATGCAAAAGCATGCTATCGCATGCTTTTGATCCTCCAATTCTGGATTAGGGACTCACCTCCGTCGCGAGTGGTCTGTGTCAGCGTGCAGAAGGGCTCGTCCGGGTCGCGGCAGCACTCGATGACGTCACGCGCAGTGGTCTCCGGTGTCAGCGGCACGCACTTGACCTCGCCCTCGTCGAGCACGACGCGCACGATCGCCTGGGGACAGCAGAGGCAGCGGTGCTGACACCTAGCGGCCGGCGGCGGAAACTGGCAGGAGACTGCCCGCGGGGTGGCGCTAGCTGACAGGGCGGCCTTCGTCCGGGCAGAGCGATAGAATGTGGACAAAAATGGTAAAATAGGATTTAAACAGAGCAGGTGAGCAAGTATTACACTTTTAAGATAAGACACCTGTTAGAGCATGAGCGAGTGTTACAACATAATAAACCAGGTTAGACAATCTTACCTATGCTCAAAATTAACTTACCAAAAATTATCTTACCTATGCTGAACAATCTTACCAATCTTACCTGAATGCTGACCTCACATAGGCGGACCCAGAGAGGCGCTCTGGGACGTTCTGGCGGGGAGGGGCATACATACGTACCCCCCCCCAATTAAACGTCTCCGAATCCCAAAAACTACTCGGATTTCGATTTCCTTTCCACTGTTGTGCAGTTCAAAGCAAACTTTTCCCTCGAAAGCTGGTTTGTTTTCTTTCTTTTCTAGAAAAAAGAGTGCTCGTCTATTCCTGCGCCTGGGTTCCCATTGTTAAGAGCAGAAGTCACCAAAAATGATTTAACATGAATGGTACGCAAAACGTAGGCGCCTTCCGGCAAGACTGAGGACAATTTTCTCTCTCTTGTATCGTTATTACGCATTCATCGAAAGACATATTTTTCGGAACAACTAAAATCCCATGTAACAAGCAGTCCGAATTCGGAAGGTCATGCTCTCGCTCCCCGCACCCACTGAACCATCACCACGGTCATAATCTCTCAGTCATCTCGCCTTCCATCTCGGCACCATCTCGCCCTCCATCCATTACAAATCACCGCGTGCGCCCGACGAAAATCAATTAACACGACCTCCACAATCCCAGTTCATCTCGGTGGCGGTCGCGGCGACGCAGCAGGGCCGAATACGGCGCACCATTTTCGGAAGCCGGTGACGCGTGACGCGGGTGACGGGAGATGACGACCGTGACAGTGTGACGGCCTGACGTGACGTGATTGGACGTGACGTGATTGATGGGATGTGACGGCTGCGATGGGCTCTGTCACGATGGGATGGGATGCGAGTGTCAAAACTCCTATCGCAAGCAAGTTATGTAGCGTAATTGAATTGCCAATGAGCCCCGGACAGCCGGTCGGATCATTACAATGATTTCAGAATCATTTATAAGCCGGGAACACCATTTATTAACTTTCGATGATTGTTCTAAATTAGAAACAGCCTGTGAGGTCACGAACGTGGAGCACTTTCAGATCCAGAGATACGTGCCGTTAGGGTGTTGTAATGTATGGCCACAGTACAGAAGTTTGATAATTTTCAGAACACATTCTTCTTAAGGTAAAAAAAAATCGATGTACAATCACAGGTCCTACCGAGATCCCACCAAAAGGGATGAATCACAGAAATCTGTTTTTTGTTTATTTATTTAAAACGGATGAGACAAGCTCTGTCTCAAGGGTTTATCGCAACACCTACCGAAGATCACTACATCACCAAGGGGATCATGGTCTGTCCTTTAGACTGTACTTACGGGAATCATGAGTCTGTGACTCTGTATCCAGTATCCACCACTGTAATGACCGGGATCATGGGTCTGTTGCCACCATCGTACATTATACGGGGATCGTAGGTCGCTGACTTTGTATTCAGTACCTATCCACCACCGTACTCACCGGGATGGGATCATGGGTCTGTTGCCACCATATGCACTTATAGGGATCATGGGTCTGTGACTCTGTATGCAGAGATCATGGGTCGGTGACTCGGTATCCAGTATCCACCACTGTACAGCCCTCTGCAGACTGCGTGGTAGGTATTCTTTTTTCGACAAAACCGAGAATAACGCGAATACTATGCTATCGGGCACTCGGAAATCGTAACAGTAAGATGCGCGAGACTCCGCAGCTTAGATTGGCGTTATCATCGTATGCATTTTCCATCCAGTTTGGCAACAAAACCCAAAAGTCTATATTTGCCCCCAAAACGAACTTTTACATTTTGTTGCCACACAATACGTATGCTTTGTTTATTGATAGGCCCTATCGAAGGAGTGGAGCATGGCGCATCTATTTGCAGTGAGTTTCGACCGACTGATAACATGACTTTTGAATTATTATCAGCTTTGTCGGAAAAAGAATACCTACTACGCAGTCTGCTGAGGGCTGTACTTACCGGGATCATGGGTCTGTATCCACCACATTGCACTTACCGGGATCATGGGTCTGTTGCCACCATCGTCCGGGCGAGACGCGCACAAGATGTCCACGTCGGCCGGCGGTGGGCGGTCCAGAGATCCAGGTCAAAGATCCCGAGGTCAAGAGATCCAGGCTCAGGTCCACCTTCTGCTCAGGCCACTGTCGGAGAAAAGAGAGGAGGCGTCAGTGGTATTGGACGACATTCTATCAGATTCAGACACCAGCACATGACACTGGCATGATTCACAAGCCTCGTATGTACAATAGGTACTGCATAGCCTTGGGTACTGCAAACAAGCCCTCAGGCACTAGTTATGGTGCTTTATGTCCGTTTTGTGTTTTTACCAGAGCTCGAGAAGACGTGCATTGACACAAGTACCAACACGCAACACTTGGGCAAGAAAGTAGCCATAAGTCTGTGGTCGCCAGTCCGGAACCTAGCACGCCCGTGGCCGAAGAGGGCGGTTCGGCACGGCCTCCGGCACGGCGGCTCAGCACGTCGGTATGCACGGTGCACGGTCGGGCACGCCGTTAGCTCCGTGATGGGCCATCGGCCACTTAGTGTTCTGTGGCCGCCGGCCATCGTAATCGCGTCATCATGTGGTAAAGGTGGCGGGGTGAGTGGGGTGGGATTGACCTACCGGCGGGACGAGCGGGGTGGGATGTGGGATTGACCTACCGGGGCGGGGCGATGGGACGGGGTGGGATGGGGCCGGTCTGTCTGCCGGTGGGACAACGGGACAGGGCGCGGTGGGTCAGAGGGCTAGTCTGGATTCTAGTGGGACAAAATGGGCCTGTTGTGAGCTTGTAGGACGGAACGGGATGGTGGACAGCCGGGAGGACATGGCGAGGCCAAATGGCGTTTTAGTGGGAACCAGGAACGGGTGGTCAAGTGGGGGCAGTACGGACCAAAAAGCAGTCTAAAATGACGGCATGAGGTTGCATCGAGCCTCGAGAGCACCGAATAAACCACGAGACCGCATGGTTGCGAAGAGATCTGGATGGACTCTACTGCCAACCGGCAACAACATAAAAGAGGAGTAAGCCTGGCGAAATTGCGTCACAAACCACCACAATATCTATCCTGAATTCCACAATACGCAAGCTTCCTGCTCGGTACTCGTAAAACACAAGCTTTCTTAATTGTATCAACATGCAATTCTAAATAATATTTACCTGGACATTGTCACGCGAATGACATTCCATGATAAGATCTCTAGCTTTTTAGATTCGAAGTTGGAAGGTCCCTTTCAAGCTCTAAAACATTTTTTGAGCAAGACAAAAATATGCATAAGCAATAAAAGTGACTAACACAATACAATCGAAAACATCAGGGAAACATTCAAATGTGAACCGTACTCTGTTGAATTTCGGCCAACATGACATAACGAATATTGTGATTGAATAAATTACACCGACTGCCATACGGGTGACAAGTTAAAGAAAACCTGTTCGTCGTTCATCGCATTTCACCTTTTACGCTACATAAGGGATTCCAAGCTCTGTCATCAGCTCTCATCGCTACTGAATAGCAGCAGACGTCACCGCGCGGCCGCCGCTCCTTCCCGGGCAATACCACCTAATGGACGTGTTTGCTCCATGATAACACCGGCACTCTCCGAACCAAGCCGCCACAGGCTCGGAAACAATGAGAGCAGCCCAGAGACCACCTGCCTGCATCGATAGACTCGACAGCCATTAGCAGAGCAAATGACAGGAGATGATTCGGCCCGCCCACCGGTGTTCGGTTATTCATTGGATTTCATGAGGAGCAGACCCGAATGTGTCTGACAAGATGATGAATTCAAAGAAATTCCTAAGCAGGATACATTGGGCAGACACTCAACTGTCCACATTTGAGACGCCGTGACCTACCTACAACGCGGTGAACAGGGTACAATAATTACAGCAAATGCAGGTACTTGTGGTCACTTGCACACGGCCTTTCGTTCCAAAGCTTGCCAAATGCTAATTATAATCGTGCAATGGACATTTATCGTCAAATTGGGTTGACTACTAAATAAGGGGAGCATGGGATCGGCAGACCGACGGATAAAAAGACAGACGACCAGACACACGGCCGCGCCCGCCGGAAACGGTCGGGACAGGGTGGGGCCGAACAGGGGACAGGGGATGAGGCCGGATGTGAGGTGACATGCACCCAGCCCAGGTTAGTTTGGCGAGCCCCACCCTGTCTGTGGCAGTCACAGGTAGGCGCTGATCACTAGCGGTACTTATTATGTCTTTTCTTTATGGCATCACCTGAATATTCTGGTGTTCAAAGATATGTGGTGTGCAATGTGTATAAATGCTACCAGTACAATGATACATAGACGAAAATGCCACGAAGTCCAAAATTGACCGTGGCAACAGCGATCACAGGTGCGGTAAGGTCAAGAGCACATATTCGTGAGCGTCCGTAATTTGGCACAGAAGGACACGTCGCACAATGGAGGAACCTGTGCAGTGGTAGGGAATGAACAGGCCATATGACACCCACGGAAGCCGTATACCTAAATGCTAGCGAGGGAGGCATTGTTTTGAGCATGCATACAGGGTACATGACCAGACGATTACGAGGAACACGACCTCATGATGACCAAATCCAGCAGCATCTGGATGATGAAGTCACAATTCCCGAGTTTAAATTGTCTGTGACGGGCCTGGATGCTGCGGAATTAAACAGTGTCATTGAAGGCCACGTTAACCCGTGACGGCGTTCAGTATGCCTGCACGTCCCCCCGCCACAACACGGGCATTAATTAGTGGCAGCCGGTGAGGTCATACCTTCAGCAGGTCGCACCTGGACAGTGACGAAACCACTGTGCATGTCCCAAGACCCGGGATTTTGAGCAGTAGAAAATGAATTGAAGACTAGCGAACTGTCTTTGAGAGCAGCTGAACACAAACAACAGGAGAGAACAACGGAATTGGGCGGAATGTCTTGAGTTTGCCAATCAACATTGCGTAGCCTTTCCCGAAGGGAAAATAATGCGGCAAAACTTCCTTTCAGGACATCGCCGTTGCGTTCATTTTTGTTGTTACGGTTCGACAGGTGTGATTGGTATAGGTATTTTCCGCATTTCATGGCGTGCAATTCGATTTTTACTGGGCCAGTGGTCTGACTGTGCAACTATCCAATAGCCTTATCATGAACCCCGGCTTATTCAGTTCACCTGTAAAGGCGCAAAATACAGTTGCACTTCAAAAATAACTGTATGTATAAATACAGTTATACTATAAAAGAACTTTACCATTCTAAAGCACGCGTGCAATGTTTAGGGTTATACCACGTTACAATATATGCAGATATCTTTGGGCCGGCGGTATCCAGCGTTATTACTGGCCTGAATGGGGCGAATCAGGACAGCATCATAAATCGATGACGTTATATGTTACATCACTGTTACACCCACGATGTATCAGCCACCAGGTAAACTCCTCAAACACTGCAGTCTGCTGCTGGGTATAAACTGCCCGAAAGGAAAACCGGCCCGGTCCGGGTCTGGGCGCAGCTGTATGGAGGCTTAGTGCCACACCTGCGGCTGGTGACAGCCCACCCGGCTCCGGACAGACACGGCACACAAATAAATATACAGCCGCACGACTCCGGGAGTCCCGTACTGAGGCAGCTCGCGGAGAAAGTGGAATTCACGGCACTTCAGTGACCACGAGCGCGACAACGATGCATTGTTCATGAGACAGAAGGCAATATAATGCATGGCTGAACACCCACTCAACCAGAACTATACAAAACCTGTTACAAAACCTCCCTTTCAGTACACCACTGTCTCAATTACAATAAAATCACGTTCGTCTTTTGTAGCCGACCCACGCGCACGCTGGTGGCTGTTCAAATGGACAGCACTCGCCGCCGACCGGTCCCGCGGCGCGCCACGGACAACACGGCTGCAGTGCCGGCTGAGGGCCGGTTTTGGCGCCAAACCGCACCCCCACGTGGCCCAGCCGGCCGGCCCGCCGCCGCCGCTGCCGTCGTCGTCACATTGCACGGTCCAACGCCGCTAGACAGAGGGCGAAGCGAGAGAGACCTTGGTAGCGCGGGAGACGTGCGAGAGCGGCCATCAGGGCAGAATCTGCCGCCGGTACGACTGCATGGAGGCGTGTCATGAACTGCCGAGCGCGGGAGGAAGATGGACCACGTCCCATGATCAGAAAGACGACCCGCCACCGATCTCTAGGCGAGCTAGACTGCAGGTTGGGTTCAGGGCGCAACCAAAGACCGAACAAGTCTGATGATTGATTGTGGAATACGGAACTTTGAGACGTTTCAGAGCTGAAATCGTCTGCGATGTGGTATTTCTGAATTAGCACCACGCCTTCTCAAGGCATCATTGTCACTTCCATTGCCGAGGTCATTCGTTAACACCAACCCAACAATAACCATCATCTCCCTCCTTCCCATTGTCACCTCTCTCCGTGCTGAAGTGTCTCCACCGACCGGCGCCTGTTTCCACGACCCCTGTGACCTCCCGGCCGTGACCCGAGCTGACCGGGAGGAGATCACCCCTCCCCACGGCCGTCCAGCCGCAGCCGATGGCCGTCGATCGAGCTAGGAAGACAAACAGCCCCGTTTGTGGTCTGTGAAGCCGATCGTGATCAAGTCTCCGTCAGCTGCCCGTCACGAAAGTCCCACGATCGTCATTTGTGCAACAAGGGAAGGATCCTGGTGACAAGATCGTGACCAGAGTTCATCTGAACATCGCCAGCTTTGCCAAACCAAACAACGTGCCTGTGATAACGAGCCCGCAATCCCGAAACAAACAGCTACAAATTCGTTGAATATCACATCATCAAGGCCTCGAGTTGATCCCCTACTGCCTATTCAATACCGTGAAAACCACTGCGAATGAGATATCGTTTGCCCGGCACTCCACATCCAGTCAACAAGGAGCGAGATCGGAGATACCAAGAATTGCTGGCTCGCTGCCAGGATCCGCGGCGGGGGGGGGGGCTGTGGAGGGCCTCTGCACCCCTCCGTGTCCATGACGGCGTGCAACATACCGGCGCGGCCAGGGCCGAGGTCGACAGTGACGCGCCGATTCTGGAGGTCAGTTGTCGGCCGGTGCCGAGCGCCGCCGCCGGCCCAGAGGAGGCGACAGGTAGCCGGAGAGGAAGGAGGGAGAGAGGAGAGGGAGATA